GATAAACAGCATTTTGTCATAGAACACACACACACACACACACACACACACACACATATATACCATCAATGATAAAATGCTGTTTATGTCCCCATGAATTGTTTGCTTCACCACTGCAATTCTCTCTCTCTCTCTCTCTCTCTGTGTGTGTGTGTGTGTGTACATGTGTATACACATATGTATGTATGTATACACACACACAGACACACACATTGTGTGAGCAGCCATAACTACATCTGTGTCACATGAGCCAATCAAATTTTTAAAAAAAAGTTAGAAAAAGGAAAGATACTGGAAGCAGCTAATTAAATAGTTTTACAGTGGTCTTTTCCATCTCGGTCATTTTGCACCTACTGACCCTAAGCAATCCTAACCACTACAGCTATAAGCAAACTGATTAGATACCACCCAAAAATAGAGTATATATCGGACCTGCTTTAGAAACCGCCAGTGATAAAATTAAATTCTAGTTCCAGTTTTAAATAAAAATTTGGAGACAACATTTGAGATACTATAGCATCGTCTGCAGGAATACTCAGAGCAGCTGGTGACAAAACTGAATATGGGATGCAGCTGCAAAAAGGCCAGTGTGATTTTAGACTGCACCAACAGTAGCATCATTTCTAAATCACAGCATTGGCCATGCCTTATTCTGAATATGGATTCGAGTATGAAGAAATCTAATGGAAACCAACTTGGTCTTTAAATAAATGCACAGTTTTTTCTAACCCTCCATTAGCTTTTCACTCACTTGTCTCTACATAGAACAGAGAACATGTAGGAATCCATAAGCTGATAATTATGAAAAAAAATGCAAGTAACTGTGTATGAGGCTAAGAGCAGTTGCTAGGATCTTTGGAGGGAAATGTTTTTTTAAAAAATGGCAAATACAGATTTGCTTATTTGTTTAAGAATTTAAATCTCCATATTCAGGGTATCTAATATGTAATAGTATGTAAATCCAGTCATAGAAAAGATGTCTCGTGAGTTCTTATGGTGTTGAGAGTTGAATCAACAATTCATGTGGAAAATTGCCCAATAGACGTACATGTTCTCTTGAAGTTGCAGTTTATGATACTTGTTTTACCTTCAAGCAGAACAAAAACCCATGAGTGGAATGTCTATTGAGATTTTCAGTCACCAGATCAGGTCATGGTTGTCCCAAAAGTGCTTTTTCAAAAGGTAATTGTTTATCCTTGTAGGTATTTTCCTTCCTTTGTTTTTCCTTGGAGATGTTTTGCTTCTCATCCAAGAAGCATCCTCAATTCTTCAGTCAGAACTGAAGAAGCTTCTTGGATGAGAAGCAAAATGTCTTCAAGGAAAAAAACAGTCCAGATGCCTTTTGAAAAAGCACTTTTGGGGCAACAATGAGTGGAGCGAACTGAAAAGAATATTGGTAGCTGGAAAAAAAAAAATTTTTTTATGACCTTCCCAAGAAAAGAGCTGTGCTCAACATGTTTGTGAACATAGCCAGAAGTAAATAAATTAAGAATCATCCTGTTAACTCTCAGGCCACTAAAGATGACTTTTGCCAAACTATACTAAATGTTACTCAGGTATCATTCCTGCCACTCACTGAGTTCACACAGTTGTCAAACAGGACCATGGACAGCACACGATGGAATTGTCTTTAGGGCATTGTTTCGCTGAGGAATTCTGCAAATGGAAAGCCATACATCTTAAAAGGTACTGAGGTTGGGAAACATTGGTGTAAGAGAATTCTGCCCCTCCCAAACAGACAAACTGGGACATTGCTCTAGCAAGTATGTGGAGATAGGCAGATAAACTCAGTTTCCCCAACTCTGTGTCCTTCTGATTTAGCCGTGAAACCCAATTGCCCACAGCCCACATAAAACTACAGTATCACTCTGTAGAAGTCTGCTACCTTGTGAAAGGATCACCTCTGGAGAACAATTAAAAATACATAAATAACTAAAATGTTCCATGTGCTATGGGGGGGGGGAAACAACCCTCACAATTCCTTCAGTTGTACATTTTGCTTCCAATCCTCCTAGCTGATTTTGTTCCAACCTTCCCTTCTTTTTTTGCAGTCACATATAAAACATGTTCCAAGTTTCATAATATTCTGAATCTCCCTTATTTTTCATTTCTAAAGTTAGTCTATCAGCTTCTGCACACGCCATTATTTTCCTTATCATCTCTCCTTTTGGTAGTATATTTTGATTTTTCCAATACTGTGTGTAAACTATTCTTGCCACGGTCAATGCATGTATTATTAAATATATTGTACCTTTACTGTGGCCTTCTGTCATTATTCCCAACAGGAATAACTGTGGCTTAAATTGAATGTGTTCTCCCACTATTTGCTCTACCCATGCCTGTATCAATGTCCAATATTGTTTTTGCAGCAAAGCAACATCACTGCATCTCCAAAGACCAGCCTCATTCCCAGAATTGAGAAGGCCATGCTTCTCTTCTATTACCACATGAATGAGGCCAGGGGGGAGAAGAATGGAAGAACCCCGGCGTCCACTCAAGCAGACAATTTGGCTAGTGAACTGACATAATTACAAGGGACGGAGAGGAGGGGGGAAAAAAGCAGGCCTCTCTTGCTTGTGCTTCAGAGGGCTTGACCCCTGCTGGTTTACTTGGACATTGGGGCTAGGCGCTGATTAGAAACCGTATGTCCTTTTCAAGAGCTCAAAGTGATTGGCCACGTTAATCTGATTAGAATTTTTTTCCCCTAGAGTTCTTTCAGAAAATCTGGGAGCACTTCACATAGGCATGGAGATCGGCAAGCACATGCACAGACATCGTGACAGGCATGGTGGCTAATATGTCCATAGGAATGGACTTGGCTTTTGGATGTACAGTGCATGCATCTCTACCTTCAAGGATGAATACAAAGCAAAGCTGGCCTATGCAGGGCACATAACCATGTGGAAATATGAAGAACAGGAATTGGGCATGTCTAGTTTAATGAAAAGAAGAACTAGGGATGACATGATAGCAGTGTTCCAATATCTCAGGGGCTGCCACAAAGAAGAGGGAGTCAAGCTATTCTCCAAAGCACCTGAAGGCAGGACAAGAAGCAATGGATGGAAGCTAATCAAGAAGAGAACCAACCTAGAACTAAGGATAATTTTTTTTGACAGTGAGAACAATTAACCAATGGAACAACTTGCCTCTGGAAGTTGTGGATGTTCTGACATTGGAGGTTTTAAAGAAGAGATTAGACAACCATTTGTCTAAAATAGTATAGGGTGTCATGTTTGAGGAGTGGGTTGGACTAGAAGACCTCCAAAGTACTTCCATTTGTTTAATGACTGTTTGAAGTTGGCAACAAAAAAGTGACTTATAACTGGTCCTTGTACTTACAGCTATCACAGGTCAAGTGAGCAAAATTCAGACACTTGGCACAATTGAGTCTGACCCACTTACCAACTGTCTTGCTTAGCAATAGAAATTTTGGTTCCAATTGTGGTCATAAATTGAGGACTACGTCTATTTGTCTATCCATCCATTCATCTGTTTAACATTTATCTATTTATCATCTATCTACCTATATACCTACCTACCTATCAGATAGAGAGAGGGAGGGAGGGGGGAGAGAGGGAGAGAGGGAGAAAGGGGGAGAGAGAATCCTACATGTTCCAAAGCAGTTACCAAAGCAAGATGCAACCAAGTAACAACGAACCCTTCAGCAATCAATTTTTCTACCTTCTACCACCACTTCTACATCACCCTTGACAAAGAACCTAGGAGAAAAAAATAGCTGCGGACTTCTGGTCATCGTTCCTGTTTTCTCTCTCCCTCCCTCCCTCTCTCCCTCTCTCTCTCTCTTCCCTCACCCCTTCTTTAAATCAAAGTGATAGTGGATCAAGCCAAACCAAATCCTCACTTATTTTGACAGATGGATCTCCTTCATCCCACCTCCCCATGCCACACAGAGGGGACACTCCTAGCTCTGGAGCCTCTGCCTTTGTTGCTTTCTACTCCCTCCCCATTTCCACAATGCCAACAGTCCAATTAGAACCGTGTCTCATGTGCTTCCATCTTTGCCGACAGTTAATTAAGATGCTGCTGCTGGCAGCTGCTGACAAATTCCAGGAACATGTGATAAAGAGAGACAGGTTTGGGGCGGGGGGTGCACTGGCCCCTCTTTCTCCAGCATAGAAAATGAGGGTGTTGTATCCCAAGGGCAACAAATGGCTTGCATCCAATTCATTCCTTGGGTGTGAGAATATAAGCAGACACTGTGGAGAGCATCCCCTCCTTTAGAAAGAAAGAAAGAAAGAAAGAAAGAAAGAAAGAAAGAAAGAAAGAAAGAAAGAAAGAAAGAAAGAAAGAAAGAAAGAAAGAGGGAGGAAGAGAGAGAGAGAAAGAAAGAAAGAGAGAGAGAGAGAGAAAGAAGCAAGCAAAGAAAGAAAGAAAGAAAGAAAGAAAGAGGGAGGGAGGAAGAGAGAGAAAGAAAGAGAGAGAGAGAGAGAAAGAAGCAAGCAAGCAAGGAAATAAAGAAGGAAGGAAGGAAGAAAAGAAGGAGGGAGGGAGGAAGAGAGAGAGAAAGAAAGAAAGAAAGAAAGAAAGAAAGAAAGAAAGAAAGAAAGAAAGAAAGAAAGAAAGAAAGAAAGATGATGAAGGACCAGGAATGACATGATAGCAGTGTTTTAATATTTGAAGGGCTGCCACAAAGGAGAGGGGGACAACCTATTCTTCAAAGCACCTCGGGGCAGGACAAGAAAAAATGGATAGAAACTGATCAAAGAGAGACCTAGCCTAGAACTAAGGAGAAACTTCCTGGCAGTGAGAACAATCAACCAGTGGAACAGCTTGCCACCAGAAGTTGTGGGTGCTCCATCACTGGAGGCTTTTAAGAAAAGACTGTCTAAAATGGTATAGGGTCTCCTGCTTGAGCAAGGGGTTGGACTAGAAGACCTCGAAGGTCCCCTCCAACTCTGATATTCAATGTTCTAAGAACCAGTCTGGGTGGAAGATAAAACATGGCAAACATTGGTCACTTTTTGTAAAAACGCCTTTACTTACAACATTTACAGATTTAGGAAAGCATAGTTGTCTGTTGCAGCCTCAAGGCCTTTAATTGATTTGGTGGCACCTGGTGTCCCATTGAGTGGGCCAAGATATTCATCAGACTGTAGACAACCACCCCAAGACCTATAACAACACTTAGGTGGTTCTTCCATGCAACGAGAGGGAATCTCACCTGGGAACCCTTCGAGGGCTGGTTGACACTTTTGCAAATTCAACCACTTTGCTACTCTGGGCTGTTCACTAGATCATTTTGGAACTACTTTATTAAAATGCCCCAATTTCCGTATAGATCCTATGGATGGTCTTATTTTCTGGCATTCTTCTTTTGCAAAACTCACATTGCATTCATTCCCCCTTTCTAAGTCTTGCAACATCTACGAAAGGATTGGTCTTCTCCCTTGATTGGTAGGTTGACTCAGGCTTCCCTGAGGGAAGATGTTGGCTAAAGCATCCAGCTAAAAGACTGATCAGTTTGACTCCTTAAAAAACTCTTTAAAAATTGGGGAGGTGACACTTGCCTGCCCAGAAACCACCATATTCATTCTTCCATATGGCTTGTAGTTTTATCTTTCCTAATGCTTTCCACAAATTTACCTAGAATGGGAGCTGTAATTTTTAGCTTCCTTTGCCTTCCTTACTTATTATATTTTTTAAAAACAACTAATCTCCAGGCCTTTAAATTAAATAAAAAAGCCAATTTTAGGGAAAGTTATATGCTTTTGCTAAAACTTCAGCTATTTCATTTTAAGAGCTCTGTGGGGAATGCCTCGCTCATTTTTTATTGGTCAATAAGCTCTAACATTTTATAGCTTATTCTATGTCATTGTTGTTTCATAACTTGTTTTGGTTTTAGCAAGATGCTTCTGAATTCACCCATCTTAACTTCATTATAATTTGTTTGCATATTTTTGTGTGTGTGAGTTCGTGTTTAAAAATAATCTCTTCATTTGAATGATAATATTTTTGCCTTCTTCCATTTCCTTGATTCTGCTGTAAAAAAAAGTGGGGCGGGAATTCCAAAGGCAGAGGTTGATCACCCTAGAAGAAAAGAAAGAGAGAAATCCCATTACTAGCTGTGGAAATATTTCTTAATGTCTATTTATAGGTCCCTTCTCCAGCTTGGGACCTGACAAATATTTTGTGTACTATAACCCAGTTTTTCTCAACCTTAGCATCTTTAAAATGTGTGGATTTCAGTTCCCAGAATCCCACAGCCAGCAATTCTCACAATCAAAGAGTGTTGTTCTTGCATTACTTTAGCAGTAAGGTCAACAAAGAGAGCATGCAAAATAATTTTTCTTGCTGCAAATTTCCGGGCCTTGCATGCTTCCACCAAATGCTGAGCCAAGGCAGAAGACGTCTCCTATGGGGATTTTCCAGATTGGGAAGTGGGAGCAGCCAGGAACGTTGCAGAAGGATAGAAAACATTTGAACCCCTCTGAGCATAAGGCAGAAAACCAGAAGCCTTTGTCACTAGGGTGAGGAGTGTGCGGGAGGGGGCATAAGATTATGATAGCGCATGCTGGATATTGCCATTATGAAAATCAACCAGACACTAAAGAATATCAGGAAGGATGCCTTGTAAATAAAAAGCTTCTTTCCATTGAAAGCATATAAAACTTAGGCTGTAGGCCCAATTTCTGGCAAATGTGTGCAAGGTATCTGTGCATTGGTTTCATTTGGGCTTTAATACCCTTGGAGAACCTGATCAGGTCTGCGTCGTACTGTAATATTAAAAGAAAGAAAGAAAGAAGCCAGCATATAAAATTGGTCAAGTTGTCTGTCTTACCCTTTGTCTGTTGATGTCTGTTAAGGGTTAATCACAGGCTTAGCATTGGAGTCATGCATGCAGTAAAGGTTGCTCTCTTCCTCGCCAGGGACCTTTAGAAGGATGACAGAATGTGGGGTGAGTCAGAATCACCTTAAAAAAAAAAAAATCCTTCTTCCTGCATCAATTGCTTTGATGCACCTGAAGGCACAGCCTTCACTGTCAAAATATCTGGATTACGGTGTCTGTGGCACACAGCTAGGTGGCTGAGAGGGATGGGAGTTCGAATCCAACATGCCTGGAGGGCATGTATGTTGGGCAACCTGGTAAGCTCCCAGCTTGCTATTTGGCAGACAACAGTGTCACCTAGTGGCAATACATCTACCCTCATACAGTATATCAGATAGATTAGAATTAGATGGATGGATGGTGATAGATAGATAGATAGATAGATAGATAGATAGATAGATAGATAGATAGATAGATAGAT